ATATACAAAGAGCCCCTGGCTGGAAAGGTGAAGGACTGAGATGAATGGAGGGGCTGAACCTGGACCAAATACCAAAGCGTTCAAAGGCAGCAGGAAAATAGAAGAGCCTCGCAGCCTGGCTTTCTCTGAGGACAGAAGTTTTGCTTCTTATACCAGAAGACCTTTAAAACTTAACACCATATCAACTTCTACATCTTAGACCGGAAAAGCACTTTTTTAGCATATAGCAGTTGAAAAACAAAACAAACCAAAATTCCCAGTATTGTAATTGCACATGCAATCCTTCATTTTCCCCCCAGCTACCAAGTAAAAGCTCTTTAAGGAAACAAAAGAATGAGGTAAAATTATTCAATCGTTCATGTATTCATGCAATAAACTGACCAGTTTTGATTTAGGGGAATGAGGTTACATCATGTAATACCCATTTCAAGGCACAGAAACCCTGTACCTGCATTAATGCAAAACCCTGACTTAGTCAGCTGTATTTTCCCTTTTAGGTTCATTTAACACTTTGTCTCAGTTTGGGTTTTTTGTTCTCAGAAGATCGTGACAAGTAAGCCAACTGGTTCTGTAGTCTAGGAGGAGATGTAAAGTTAAACTGCAAAGCAAAAGAGGAACTCAGGATCATTCAGAGAGACACACTGTGGACTCGGTTATGCAAAAATATGCAGCCTTTTCTGAAGGCTTCTTATCTCTTCATAGAGTTACAGTGGATTCTGTCTGAAACCCAGTGATACAATCACTCCTCATGGGTGTTTGCATGTACACGTGTATGTGTGTGCCTTCCACTTCCACTTCCACCGTGTGACAATGAGCAAGGTAGTTTTCCCTCAAAAGAACTCAACTTCCTGGAGTCTGAAAGACAGTTGAGGTGGTGTTGTAGCAGGCCTCTTCCAAAGCTGCACTAGCTTTTCATCCCTGTGACAAAATACCCAAGGAGAACCATTTAAAGAGGAAGGGTGGCTCCTGGCTTCAGTCCATGGTTAAGGGTACCACTGATTTTTGGCCTTTCATGATGCGGAAAAGTCATGGCACACAGGTGTGGCAAGGGAATTCCGCTCATTTCGTGGAAGACAGCAGAGAGAGAGGGGATGAGCCAGAGACAAAAATATATCCTTCCAGCTTCTCATCCTCTCATTCCGCCTCATCTGACCTCATTCATTATCTTTCTGCTCCCTGTTCAGCTATGAAATCATCAACAGATCACACCCTCGTGTCCAGTCACCTTCCAAAAGCTTCAGTTCTGAACACTTGAG